AATTGTCTTAGAGTCATTGGAGACATGGAGGAAGGAAGGAAAATGCAGCCCAAGCTATTTGGAAAGATATGGCCACAGTCAGCTTTCCACAGTCTGGGGTCTTTTAGTTCAGTAGGTCTAAGCACTTATTATCCACAACTAAGATTGACCATATAAAATTAGACTTGAGGATGAACAGGCATAGACTTTGTTAGGGGAAAGCATTTGCCCTGTGGGAGGGTGGGGGATGGGGGTTGTGTTTACATAATACATTAAGCCACAGTTTAATTTATTTTACTGAATGAACCACAATTAGTTCCATTCACATAACTGGCCAACCATAGATCATCCTTTGTAGTCCACAATGACTCAGTTCACACAACACTTAGCCAAAAATAAGCAGACCACCTTACATTTTAGCATGCTGTGAGAATCCAAGCATTATAAAATGGATTGGGAAACTTTCTAGGCCTGGTTGCTAAATTTCTGATAGGAGACTGTGGACCTGAAACAGCAAGGATTCTGTAACTCGTTGAAGTTGTCCTGAGAGCTTTCAATTAATTTTTAATAAATAATTAGTTTAATAGTTTAATAATTTAATTTAATAATTAATAATTAATAAATTTGTGTTTAGCTTGCAATAAGTTCCTTTTGACTCAGTTACTTGTGAGTAGATTGGGCTGTACCTTATAGGTTCAGCCACAGTGGTAAATTATGATCCTTCACCCCCACTCCACAATCTCTTAAGAATGTGCAATAGCTAATACTGTAGTTACAATCCTTCTCTCAAAGAAAAGACGATGTCACTTTCTCTTTCTTTGATACTCTACATATATTAATGCATTCACATGGACATATCATATAGGTACACAAATTGCATGTGTGAATGAGCCCTCCCTATTCTAATACTCCAGACAGAACATCCGGGCGCTATAGTCTTACACAGACCGCTTTGCAGGTGGAGGTGGGAGCCAGAGGGCCAAATAATCGGCAGGTGGGCAGATACACGTGTGAATGTGGCCACCTCCTCACGGTCTGACCCTTGCCTGCCTTTCTTGGTCGCTAGCTTTTCTTTCAGAGCTGCCTTTCCTGGGTTCAAAAGTGGCCTCTTTCGCCAGTGCAGCGGTCTCTCATTCCTTGAAGCCGAAAGTGCCGTCGGGCAGTTCCCCGGGTGGAGATAGGGCGCCAGGGAAAGGGTGGGAACCGTGGCGACCTTTTGCAACGTCGCCGGAGGGCGAACTGGAAGCTGGGAGTCTCAGCAAGCCGAACAAGCAGCGGCCTGAGAAAGGGACCGTCCCAGGCTAAGCCAGGGAGAGAAAGACGCGAGAAGAGGAAAGGAAACCTTCGCTCTGGGAAGACATATCCCCAGTCCCGCGGGGTTGGAATATCATACCCATCAGCATGGCTGGCTGGGGAAGATGGGAGCTGGAGTTCAACATCTCCGGAGGGTGCCAAGACGTGGACGGTTGGCGCTTCTGCTCAGCCAAGGCGTGTAAAGAGGCTCGTGGAAGTGAGATAGGATCGCTACCGCGCCGAGACTCGAAGGACAAGGAAATTCTCCGGGATCGGGAGCGTCTTCTTTCCTTCTTTCGTTCACCGCTCCCAGGCTGGATGCGGATCCTCGGAAGCAATTAAGTTCCACTCGTGCACATACATTTCTTGATGACCCCAAGGATGACTCCTTGGCGTTCCGGGTGTGAAAGGCTCATCACCGCCACAGATGCGATTATAAAGGGAGGTCCTAACTGCTGCGAGGTGGTTTTTAAGATTGGTGTTTCTCTGCCTCGTTAACCTGGAGTATAGTCTAAATTCTGTGTTGCACGTACGGAGTTCTGTCTACTAGTTCCTTAAATCTGTGCGATCCTCTCTGTATGCCTGAAAGAGTTCCGGACTGCACATTTTGGAACTCTTCCATAGAGTCCCTCTCCCTCCTTCACCCACTCACCCACCCGCTTTGTTTCGTTTCGTTTCGTTTCCGAATGTCTGTCTGGCTATGAGAATCATTCTGAGTATTGGGAGGTTTGTTCACCGTTTTGGATGGCCCCAATAAAACCATCGTCGTCATCATCATTTTCCGCATGTCCGTCCTTCCTTCCGAACAGCAGGATTTCCCGCAATTGCTGATCTCACGAAAGGTCTTGTACGCAGCATTGGAAATATCAGGCGTTCAGTAGCAACCTCCAATCAGCACTCAGCTCCGCTGAATCCAAAAAGTTCGGCGGGATCCAATTCGATCTGACAATTCGAATTGGTTCAGTCGATTGGATTCAGAGACTCGAGGAACTTACTTTGAGAGCCAACCTCTGAGTGAAATTTACACAAGCCTGTCAGATAGAAAGTGGGGTGGGGTGGGGTCGGGTGTGGTGGGGGGCTGAACTATGTTGCCTCTCACGGGAGGGCAGGTGGAGGTTCATATGGTGGAATCCCCGTACCACTACGACCAACAATAACAAGAATTGCCTCCACAAGAAATAGTTGTTGGGTGCTGCTTAATTCCAGAAGCCTCACTGGATCAATCATTTGGGTTGGATTAATCGGTTTCTTGACTGTACAGGTGAAGATGTCCAGAACGGATATAGCAGTCCAAGCCTAGATGTTTGGAAGCAAGCTGCCACTCCCCACCAGAGTTTATTGGCTTTTTAAAAATGTTTTTATTATTATTATTATTATTGAACTGTCCAGCGGATCCAGCTCTTTTTAATCAAGTCAAAGTCCCTTCCTTCCTTCCTTCCTTCCTTCCTTCCTTCCTTCCTTCCTTCCTTCCTTCCT